GCCTCGGCCTCCCAGAGAGCTAGGATTACAGGCGTGAGCCACCACGCCCGGCCATAAACCACCTTGTTTTTTCATGTTGCTGGAATTCTCATGCTCATTCCTTGTCATCTGGAATTTCTTCTCTCAGTGTAAAACAGGTAGCTTAGCAGTACATCTATTCTCTTTTGGCAACTCTTTTGCTCAGTAAAGGAGGAAGAGGTATAGTGCCCTCCAGCTTGTGCTGTTAGGTACCCACCTTGTTTTTGCTGGCAATTCGGGTCACTTAGAACTCAGACTCTTGGGAGGGTGTTCAGGTGCCAGTGGTGGTAGACTAGGTTATGTAACCCCCAGCTCCCAGGCCCCCGGATGGCCTGTTTTGGTCTCACTCAGGAAAGTTGATCAGGCAGGAGAGGGGCAGAAGCACTGTGAGCCTGTAAATACTGCTGCTCTTCTGTGTTTTCCTGTTCCCCTGTGTTGATCACAGTCCAAGCAGGTGATGAGGGATGTCCTTTTGGGGGGATGGGTTGGTCCCCAGGCTGTTGCTGACAGCTTGAGTGGGGGTGGGGCGATTCCCCCTCCGCAGTGGCAGTGGAGCCGGGTGGCCCTAGGGGTTTGCTCCTGCCCGGGTCCCTCAATGGCAGCTGTGGCGATGGAGGGCGGGCGGGGCTACATAGGTAGCGGTAGTTGTGCAGGGCCTTGGGTTTTAGTTCTGCCTGGGTCTCCAGGTGGCAGCGGCAGTTGGTGGTCGCTGAGCAGGCTATCTAGGGGGCGGCTATAGGAGCAGGCAGTAATGGGCATATCCTCTGCCCTGATACCCTGGTGGCCGAGGAGGCCAGGGTGGCTGTGGCCGGGGTGGTGACTGGATAGTGCTACCCGGCTGGTAGCAGCTAGTACAGGTAACTTTGGGTGCTTGCTCTTCCTCGGTCACTCTCTCCTCCGCGCCCGCTCCCCCACCCACCGCGTGGTGGCAGTGGCAGTGGCAGTGACTGTGCGGGGCTACCCAGGCAGCAGCAGCAGTAGCTGCTGTGGGTGGCCGTGGGCGCTTGCTCCACCTGGTCCCCCTGCAGCGGTGACAGCAGCGGTGTATGGCGCTTGTTCCCAGGGTGTGTGAGATCACCCAGCCTACCCACTTCCTCCCTGGCCTGGCATTGGCAATGAGGAGGCAACAGCAACGGTTCAGGCCTCTAGGTTTATGCAGCATTCTGTACCTGGGCTCTCAGAATTGCACAAGCTGCAGCGCCCAGGGGTCGGAAGCCAGCGAAATCCATGTGTGCCTTCTCTGGGAAGCAGAGCTGCAGAGCTGCTTTCCAGCATGTAGGCAGTTCTCGCACCCATCTGGGAACCTGTGGTGGGGTGGAAGGGCAGGGTGGGTGAAGGGGCCTTCCTGCAGCTCAGGTTACAATGTCTGTGAGGAGAGCATGGCTCCCCAGGGCTCTCTTGCCTGCCGCCTCCCCACCTGCAGGTGCTTCCTCCAGTACCTCTGATCCAGCAGAGTGGGCCTCCCTCTTCCGTCTTCTTTGCTTTCAGTGCCTCCTGCTGCTGCTTGGTTGATTCCCAATGCTCTCTCCCAGACAGTACCCCTGAAGGTGAGTGTCTGCTCACCTGCTTTTGATCCTCTCTGTGAGAGCAGCATGTGCTGGCTGCTTCTAGGCCGCCATCTTGGCCCCTCACCTCAGCATTTTCTTTTTTATTATAAAATCTTTGTTGATTGTAGGAAAATATTTATGCTATATTCGGAGAACTGTACTAGCTATTGTAAGAAATTATAAAATAGCTATTATGGTTAACTTTATTCCTAAGTTTAAATAGATATATTATGATTTCAGAGAACTAGGTTTACCTTACTGCTGCAAAAACATTGTTCTTACTTTCTTAACTAAATGTTAAATTTTTGCTGGGAATAGGGTTTTAACTCTGGTGTGGTAACATGTTGGTTTAGTCATCCTTCAAAGGTGTAAATGAATACCAGATCCTTGCCAAGTAGAAAAGTTTGATAGGACCAGAGTACTTGGGGGGCGGTTGGGGAATGAGAGTATAGTATAGAAAGTGGAGGCTACAGACATATAGATGCGCTACTTCTACCTCATAATTTTGTAGTAGTGGCTGTATAAACTCTGAAAAGCAAACATCCTTTTTATTTATTTTCTATGACTAGTTATTTACATTTTCCAAGATGTATTTTGTGATATTAAAGACCTAGTGATACACAACAGAATTTGGGAAGCAAAAATATACATTAAATATAGATGGTAGTCATGTGAAAGTGACAGAATAATAAAGTATATTTGATTAAATTAAACTAGGTAGGCCAGGTACAGTGCCTCATGCCTGTATTCCTAGTATTCTGGGAGGCCAAGGCGGGACGATTGCTTGAGCTCAGGAATTTGGGACCAGCCTGAGCAAGAGAGAGACCTGTCTTTACTAAAAATAGAAAAAATTAGCCAGGCATGGTGGTACGTGCCTGTAGTTCCAGCTATTTGGGAGGCTGAAGCAGGAGGATTGCTTGAGCCCAGGGGTTTGAGGTTGCTGTGAGATAGGCTGACACCGTGGAACTCTAGCCTGGGCAACAGAGGGAGACTCTGTCTCAAAAAAAATAAAATTAAATTAAAAATAAACTAGTAACATTCTTAATCAAACGCTAGTGTCTAATGATAATAGCTACCCTTGATTAAGGGTCTTACTAAAGCTCAGAGAGGTTCTGTAAGTTACCTGAGTTTACCTAGTTACTATTTGTATAAGTGGTACAGATAGAGCAGAATTTTAACTCCAAGATCAGTTAATATGCCCTTTTGCCTCACATTTTGCTGACTTACCCTAGGAAATGTGAGTGGTATACTTTGTGAAGACACGATATAAAATAATTTTTAAATTGGAAAAATAAATGGAGTCATAATAAACCTGTGATTTTACTGAACAGTGTTTTCTACTGATATGTACCAAGACAGTTTTGATTTTGTTTTGTGCTCATAGACTATACCTCTGATATGATCAATTCATTTATTAAAATACATGTATTTATTTGTAATTGTATTGATCAAAAGGGAAAACAAAAAATAAATAGGCACAGATTCATTTGGCATTAATGGAAAAACAAACGTCCAAGCATAAGTCTGTTTTAGATTGTACATGCAAGACTTAGCCAGGTGCTCCACAAACAACTCTTGAGAATTTATTACCAAATCAAGACTTAAGGAGGTCAAATATATATGAAAGATACCTAGAGAAAATAAATTTCCTAAGACAGGAGGAGCAGAAAGAGCAAAAGCCTCAGTCAGAAGGGAGTTCATAACATGAAACGAAAAAAGATGAATGTTAGGGATGAAAGAGTTGGTGGCACCCATCCAAAAGTCATCCAGGAGAGAGAGTGTTCTGGCTTCAGGACTTAATTTATGTTATTCATTTTGAAAAGTCCGTCACTGTTGTGAAGTTGGGTCTTTTGTAGCCACTTCACATTAAACAACTGATTTTTCTAGTCCTGCTTTCATGTGGTAAAAGCAACTTTTTAATCATAATTAGTTTTTCTACAGAAACAGAATGTGCATACCAGGTGGGCCACAAGTTAAGTCTTTTGACAGTTTTAATTGCTCATTATAAACAATTTAGCACGTTGGTGTTTTGGTTTCTTCTGTAGTCTTTTGTGAGTTTGGTTAGTTTAAGTTCATCCCTGAGAAAATGGTCATGTGCTGCTGAGTCAGTAAAGCCAAGCATCAAACTCTGTTTTGACTCTGGTATATTTACCAGAGTCACTGTTACTTATGGGTCTCTTGGCAGTTTTAACTTTGTCTTTTTTTTTTTTTTTTTCTTTTCACAACAGCTATATACATATCAGACTTTGTCTTTTTTTCCTTTACATTTTCAGGAAACATTTTTGAAAAATATATTTAACTTTGTCTTTTTTTTTTTTTTTTTCTTTTCACAACAGCTATATACATATCAGACTTTGTCTTTTTTTCCTTTACATTTTCAGGAAACATTTTTGAAAAATATATTAAATAAAGTCTTACTGGTTTTTGTAAATGAGCATATAGAGAAATTAATTGCATGGGATTCTTAAACTTCCATAAAACTAAATCTTTATAGTGAAACATTTTCTTGATTTATTGATAAAAGGGCTTGAACACTTTTAGTGTAGACTTTGAATATGTGATTATGGTTTGAAAAATAAAGTAAAAATTTGAATAGTAATGCATTTTGAATGGTAACTCATTTTTTGCTTTTTGATTTTTTTCTTTAGTTTACAACAAAGTATGTTAAGATCCCATTTCAAGGTAAGTTATCATTCTTGCCTTTTCATTGTAATTTTGAGTGTAAAATAATTGATCAGCAAAAATTCTGAAATCCTTTTGCAACCAGTTTTCCATAACTTTTTTTCAGTTTAGAATTTAAGTAAAACTAAGTTTAATAATGTTTCACCTTAACTTAACATTTTGTAGCAGCTCCAAAGGGAGTTAAAATGTTTTATAATAGAATAAAATGTTTATAACAGAATGTTGTGTTGATCACTCCAAGTCAAACAATATCAAAGGACTCATGATGATTTCTTCAGATTAACAGAAATAAAGTTTTGAAACATAGCAAGAATATTTTGGTATATATAAAAATGGATGAAAATAGGAACTATAAGGAAAGAAGCATAAGAAAAATGTTTAATATTGCACACAAACACATAAAATGTTTTAACGTAGAGGTTAAGACAGGTTTTTATATCATTTCTTATCTGAGTAAGGCAAAGTAGATTGGAAAATGTACATGCAGTTTACACAAGACTCAGACCATTTTTTTATTCTTTCTTCAACTAAAAATCTTCCAGAATAATGACAGCAAGAAAACAAATAATAAGCAAGAGTATAATCTCTTTAGATAATGGATTATAAAAAGAACAAGGAAGAAAAACACACAAATAGCACTTTAGCTATGAACTAGAGAAAAGGAGGCTTTTGTTCCAAGACTGCAGATGTGATCAACGTGACTTTGATTGGATTCCGCAGATACCTCATGTACAGAATCCAAAATTAAGTTATGATAATGATTCTAATAATTAGATTGCCACTTTAGGTAAGACTATATAAAGCACAGAGTAAGTATATTGATAGTTCTAATTAGTAAATATCAATAAATTATTAAGGAATAATATAATATTAGCTATTTAGAAGAAACAAAAAGACGTGATTTTAAAAGGAATAATTTCAGAAAAAATAATGCTATATATAATTTATAGTTAAAGACCTGGGTAACAGAGCTACCTCTCAAATTCTTGTGATAGAGATGTCAAAAATAATATTTTAGGTTTTCATAGTTAATAGTTTGTACTTTGTTTCAGACATTGCTTATTTATGATTTTTTATCACATATGATTTTTAAAAGGCAATTTTAATTACAAATTTTGGAAAAATAGTCTTTTCAGTGATAATAGGCTTACAGTTTCATCATGGAAGAAGACAATATTAGTCTTCTTCCCCAGTCCTGTCCATATTTCCATATGCAAAGTGTTTTTAAAGCAAGGCATGCATATAAAAGGTTTTATAGATGAGAACCTAGAGGTCTAAATGTTTATTCTTTTTCCATGCAACTGAGGGAAAATATTGATTTTTCAAATTTATATTTTAGCTATTAATTATGTTTGGCTGTTAGTAACAATGACTTAAAGAAAATAGTTTATTTTTCCTTCACATAGAAGAAATCTAGAGGCAGGCTGAACTAGTATGGTGTTTCCTTGGTCATGAGGGGCCCAGGCTCTTTTAGTTTTCTACTCTGTCATCCTACCACATAACTTACATCCTCAAGTTTATCTCATGGCCATTTTGGCTGCTTATACTCCATTATCATGTTAGCATTTCAGGCATAGGGAGGAGGAAGGGGGAAATGGTGGCAATATCACATGCTACCTATCTCTTACCCTTTGAAGGAGACTTCTTGGATGTGCATGCTGCCCGACTTCCTCAACTTAGGTTTTATTAACTAACCAGTCATATGACCACTCACCTATTTGCAAGGAAGCTAGGAAACAGAGTTCTTCTTAAAAGCTGAGTATCTTGCTTCTCTCAGTAAAATTAGGGTTCTATTGTTAAGGAATAAGAAGAAATGGAAAAGTGGGTAGGCAACTCCCATTTTCAGCATCTGTGCTGTATCCCTGTAACAGAATTGAGCACATATTGGGGGAAAATTTGGTAATGAGGTGTAAATTTTTCTCATGATGGTATTAAATCCCTTTTTTTTAAAAAAGAGGAACTTTAAAGCAATCTTTCTAAAGAAAATTTAGCCTTCGATTCTAAAAGCCTGGAACAATTAGTTTGGTAGTAGTTGTGTAGATTTCAGAGAAATAGTATCAAATATACCTACGGTGCTGTGAGCTGCATGAGGAGGAAATGCTGAGCAGATTTTTCTGAGGATTCTCACCCCATTTTAATTTAATCTGTTTGTTTTTGCTGCCAGTTTTACTGTCAGTTTTCAGATTGGGAAAGTTAAAGTAGGAAGAATAGAATGGCTGGTTTGGGAACATTAAGATGACTGGTTAATTAAGTATTTGAATACCCAATGTAAAACGATTTTTATACTTTAATGTTCGTATGAATCCTAGGGGTAGAGGTGGGCTGTTACTTTGAGATTCTAATTCAGTAGATTTAGTGTGGGGCCTGTTACTCTGCATTTCTAACAAACTTCCAGGTAATGCCAATGTCACAGGCTAAGGACCTCTCTTTGAATAGCAAAGTGCCAGGAGATTATGCAGGAAGGAGTACTAAGAGATTTGTTTCAAATAGGCACCTATCTTGGGCTTATACTTAACTGATATTTGCATTCCCAGTTTAGCTGCTTGCTTTCTTAAAGTTGAACTAGATGACCTTCGGGACTTCTTTAAACCAGTTTTCTGTTTCTTTTAATTGAAAAAAAAAAAAAAGTCGTCGTCGGAGGAGATTCCTTTAGCTCACTAAGAGGGAGAAGGACTAATACCTTAGAATGATTACCCAGGAATTTTGAGAAATAAAATCTGTAAGAATTTTAAAAGAATGTCTTCTTAAACCATTTAGAACCTCGTATTATTATTGAGAATCTTTTGGTAGTGGCTTATCTGTATAGTGGAATGCAGATGTTTTGGGAGAAGAAAGAGGGGCAGAAATTGGCTTATGATAACATTTGGAGTCTTGGTTTATAGTATTGATCAAGATAGAAAAAATGGAAATATATAATTTTCAAAGGTATACTATACTTAATTTTCTGCATTGGTAGACTTTTTTTTCTTTTTGCTAATGATTTCAAAATTCCTAGTGAGAAATCTTTCTGGACAAGGTTTTTATACTATGGATATTTAATCTCAAATTTATCTTTTCTGGATATAACTGAAATCATACAGTATGAGAGACTAAATCTCTAATTATCATTTATTAATAATAATTACTTAGCTGTTCCTAATCATAATGTGATTTTTTTTTTTTTTTTACTGTAATAATACTGCTTGGGGTATCTTACCTAAGTTTAGTGAAGTACACTGGAAATATATTTTTGAAAAACTTTGTATATAATTCTTTTTTAAAAAATATAATGTATTAAGAAGTGTCATATAGTGCTTAAGTGCTGTATTGTTAAATAGATTAATTTTTAAATTGTTATCTTTGTTTCAGTGTCCCTGAATGAGGTTTCATTGCTAGTGGATACCACACATTTAAAGAGGTTTGGATTATGGAAAAGTATGGATGATGATCACAGTAAAAGGAGTCATGCTATCCTTTTCCTCTGGGTCTCTTCAAATTATCTTCAAGAAATTCAGGCCCAATTAGAAAACTCTACATTAGGTCAGCAATGTGAGTATAAAATGATTTCTGAATTTCAGAAAAACCTGACAAGTCTGATAAATAAAATAGTTTTCTGCTAAAATAATTTAATTACAATGTAATTATTTCAGTGAATTGAAATTAATTTCATCGAATTAGAAAAATTTTATCCCTTAAAATTATGTAAGATAAATGATTTTATTTGCTTAATTTCTCCCAATAATTTTATTCAACCAAGTGAAATTATCTTCTAAAATAAAAAGAATACCTTAAAAAAATCTTAAATGTTGTTTACCTTGAATATAAAAAGTTTCTATACTGTAAAAAAAAAAAAAGGAACGCCTTATCTTTTAGTGAGTTGTCATCCTTGACTTTCTTATGAATTTCTTGCTATTGTTTCATAATGAACTGTGACAGAGTTAATTACTAACAAAGTTAAATAAAATACAGAACTTTTTACTTTCAACATTTTCTTTAGTATCTAAAAAAACAAAATCCAGTTTACTTTATATATCATTACTCTAAGACTGGGTTGAATAATTTTCTGTATATGCCCATAATACTTATCTACGTAATATGTATCTTAAGGTATTTCCCAACTTTAATTTCCATATCCTAAAAGAATTTGGTTTAGAATTGGGTAAATCAAATTAGTAAGGTTTTTTCTCACCTCTTTTTTTTCTTTTTTGAGACAAGGTCTTACTCTGTCCCCTCTGCTAGAGTGCAGCCGTGTCATCATAGCTCACTGCAACCTTAAACTCCTAGGCTCAAGCTGTCCTCCTGCCTCAGCCCCATGTAACTGGGACTACAGGCACATGCCACCACACCTGGCTGATTTTTCTCTGTTTTGTAGAGTTGGGGTGTCGCTCTTGTGCAGGCTGGTCTCTCTCTTGCTCAGAGTGGTCTTGTACTCCTGGCCTCAAGCCATCCTCCTGCCTCAGCCTCCCAAAGTGCTAGGATTATAGACATGAGCCACTATGCCTGGCCCTTTCTCACCTCTTTGATCTCTCTGCCTTCTCTTTTTACTCTCTTGCACATTAAAAATGTTAAGTAATGAACTAAATTTTATACTTTTAAAATTAGTTATTTTCTTATCCTAATTATTTCCAATAGGAAAATTTATGATTAAATAGCAAAGAAGTTAGAGAAAATATAAAGAGCCATTTATAATCATTATGGGGGGAGAGAATGTCTTTTGAGACCAACATTGAAATGGTTGAGGAAAGAAAATGTAGGAGGTATTTAATTGGAATACTTTCTTAGTTGATAGATTTGATCAATGGAGGAGACTAGAGAAAAATAATTGCCTAATTATAATTCATTCATTTATTCATTTATACATTAATTAACAAATGTTTACTAGCACTTACTTAAATGCCTGGCATTGGAGATAATAGCAGTCAATATCAGTATGGAGTTGCCATTTTAGTGCAGTAGAACAGGAGTCTAAAAATTGTGAGTTTAAGTTCTAGGTTACTAATGGCTTATTTTGGGGTTTTAATTTGCCTGGGTTTTTACCTAACATACAAAATACTTTGGGTTATATACAACATTACAGTTATTAATAATTAAATTATTTTACTTATGATACCCTTGAAAAAATACTATTGATAAAAAATTTTTTTTCTTTTATAGCAAAATTCAGTGAATTCATTTTCCTTGAGCTACACAATCCTATTTCACAAAGAGAAGAACTGAAATTGAAAGATATTATGGTGGAAATAAGTACAACCAATGGAGAATTAGAGCTTTCTTATCCATTGTCTTGGGTTCAGGCACTTCCTTTGTTTCAGAACCTCTCTTCAAAAGAAAGTTCTTTTATTCATTATTACTGTGCTTCAGCTTGTTCTTTTCCTGCTGCTGCTGCTGAAGAAATGAAGATGAAATCAATATCTCAGGTTAGCATGTGATTAATATAATTAGCAAGGGGTGAGGAGGTTCAGTAAAAATTCTTTCATTGGTAGTAGGCTGATTTCAAAATGTTATGTTTTGTTAAAAGGGCATAGGAACTAACCTGAAATAACTCCCAGAGTCAAAGCTTGGAACAGTTTGTTCAATAACATCAGTAATGATAGAATGGGGTTATAACCAAAGAATAAAATAAATATCTATGAGTCTATACTGATATAAATCGATAACTGAGTTAATGAATGAATTAATAAATAATAAATGGTGGATAAAGGACAACTATTTCTTAAAAAAGAATCCAATTAATAAAGTAAAAGGAATAAGAGAAATATAAAACCACCACTAGGATAATGTATTTATGATTGTTGCAGACAAACTTCACTGATGGATAACAAATTAAATGGGTGAAAATTTAAGGAGAAAGAAGATATGTACATAATCTCAAAGTCTCTAGCCCAAAATATTTATTAACTACAAAACGAAAACTAGTAACTTTGCAGCAGAGAGACCTGACAGATATCACTTTAACTAAGTGGTGAAAATTAACATCAGAAGTAATAAAATGTATCGATATAATGTACCCCCTCATATTGTGCACTGAGAAGGGTAGATCACTTCTGTGGTATTCTTCCTGATAATGTATAACCTCAATCTAGTCATGAGAAAAATGAGACAAACCCACTTACAAAATAACTGACATTTTTCAGAAGTTGTGAAAGACAAGGAAAGATTAAGGAATTGTAAGATCCTGAAACAGAAGAAGGATATTAATGGAAAAAATTAAAGTTTAAAGATTAAGGTCTATAGTTTAGTTGATAGTATTATACCAATGTTAATTTGTTAGTTTTGATAATCGTACTATGGTTATATATTGATAAAATTAGGGGAATCTGGGTGAGGTTTGTTTTTTGCAGTTCTTCTATTAGTCTAAAATTATCTTGAAAACAGTAGTAAATTTAAAAATGCTATGTTTATTTTTATAGGAGGTTGATAATGTACATGTAGGTTGTATATCTCTGTCAAATACTTCTAGAGAGAAAAGTGTTTATTAAGTAGCATGTGCACACACACATGTACACACACAGGTTTGGTATGGGGCTAATCTTTTATTCAGAAGGCCTGTAGAAAGCCACATTAGTGTAAAATAAGACATAAGACTTCACCACTATCTTTATGTATAATGTTGTAAAAATTTTGCATGCTAATTATATTGTTTATACGAATTTGTGTATTACTTTTTGTTTAATAATAGAGTATCAGTTTATGTCATTATAAACTCAGCCTCTCTTAATTTTAAATTTTACTTTTTCCTGCTATTTGTCACTTGTTTTGATTATTTTGAACTGCAGAATTGTCAAATTCTTCTTTAATTATAGAGCCCATATCTGGAAGTAGTACTTCAAGTTAAATTTTGACCATTGTTTGTATAGTATCTTTTGATGACATGTATTATTTTTGACTTGGTTGTATCTTTATAGGAATTCCAAAAGTGTAGATATAACTCATTGATAGGAATTTCTTTTAGTTACATTTTCTCTTACAAGTCTAGGTTTTGAATTTGTTCTTTTGAAAATTAATATGTTTGTATTTATGTATTTATAAGGAGATCTTTTTCCTTGCCACGTTCTGTCAGCCCTCAAATACAGATGCAGCCAAACCTACCTACACCTTCCTACAGAAGCAAAGTAGTGGTTGCTACTCATTTTCTATTACATCTAATTCAGATGAAGAATGGAGAGAAGTCAGGCACACTGGACCTGTTCAGAAGTATGTACTATATCATATCCGGTTTGTAATAGGTGGCATATTAGTAGTTTTTATTCATGTTGCTGCTTTTAGATTACCTTTTTTTTTTTATATTTGTTAAGAAGAACTTTTTTTTTTTTTATTTCAGCATATTATGGGGGTACAGATGTTTAGGTTACGTATGTTGCCCTTGCCCCCCCTCCCCCTCTAAGTCCGAGTTTCAAATATGTCCATTCTTTGGGTGGTGCGCATTGCACTCCTTGTGTATACAAATACCCGTCCCCTCCTCCCTCCTCCCCCCTCTCCCCTCCCCCCTGCCCAACATCCAATAGATGTTATTCTTATATGTGCACTTATGTGTTGATCAGTTAATACCAATTTGATGGTGTAGATTACCTTTTGAAATGTTTTGAGTTTTACTTTCATGCTGATGGTTAATAATGGAAATAATTTTTGTTTTTTAAATTTATGAGGAAGTTAAAAATTTTATTAAGAAAATAATAGGTGCCATTTTATTTAGTTTTATGTCAGTAAGACAGAAATGTCAGCCAAAATACTATATTTCGTAAGATTAAAGTGTTTATTGAAAATACTTGAATAACAGTGTATTCTTTTGAAGATTATATGTTCCGTATCTGAATATATATGATAGGAAAAATGAAATTGCTTACTAAAGTATGCCTCAACTTAAGGTACTTAAAAAAGTGTTTTTAAAAAGCTCATTTATTTGCAGTGCACTTGTATACAGTTCAAAAATTACTGTAGACACAGAATTTGATATATTTTTGCGTTTAGTATTTAAACCCGAACATCAAAATAATTTTCTTCTTTATCCTTCTTTATAGGTCATTATATTTACTCATTTTTTAACACAAGGAATGTGATAGTTTGCCAAATTTCAATTTTTTATTATCATTCATCTTCTGTACCCATGCATGACCACTAAACCTACAGTTTCTTCTGTACTTGAATATACAAAATATGATCACAATGTCATATTATTAACTTCACATACAGAACATACTCTTTTCCTGAGGCCCTGTGGTCTCGCAATATATATATTGCTTTGTTAATTTGTTTTTATATTTCATATATGTAATAAATATGATCTCCGGATTTTTATCTATTTCCTCATCAACTCGATGCTAAAAATTACAATCTCATAATGAGGGGATTTAAATCTAATTCCTTAAATTAGGAGAATCAAACTACGCTCTGGTATTTCTGCTCTGTACTCTGGGGTTTTGGAACAGAGTGGAAGGAAATTCAGATATATTCAGTTTCTGTAGCCTTTGGACGTGAACTTTTTTCATCGGCTATATTGCAATTTTTATATTACATTTACTTTTTAATGAATTTTCAAAGTAATAAAAGTTCATTGTTAAAAATACAGAAAAAGCATAATGGGAGAAACACTTATCTTCCAACCATTAAAGGATAACAGCCATTAGCATTGTAGGCTGTAAACCATCGCTTTCTATGCATATACATACAATTTAAGGTACTTTGGAGTTGAATACAAGTTCCCTTTTGGAAGTTTCTTCTTTCAATTTTGTCCTTTATATTTCTTCTCATGGTGGTAAGGCAGAATATAGAATCTGTGCATTTGAGGATGATTTCTATACCTCCATGTGATTCTTCTCTGTTTTTTTAAAAAAGGCAATTGAAAGCATAGGATAGGAAAATAGCCAATAAGAAAGAAACTATCATATTATTGTTAGGTCCCGAGCCAAGAGAGAGACATACATGAAACCTCATGTGTAGCCAAATGCCGTTTATTTTGAGCATCTGGGTGCAGATGGGTGGAGGCAAAAAAGTGTCCACACTGAGGGAGGGGAAAGCCTTGGGTTTTATAGAGGGTTTCTCTGGGGGGGAGTAAGTAAGTGGGCCAGAACAGCCGTTTGTAATAAATTATTTTTCAAACAACCAGCTCCTAGGACCCCTGCCCCAGTCACATCCATCCTTCAGCTCCAGAGTTGTCCTTATCAGGAGAAATAGGGAAGGATAAACTTCATCCCAAAGGGAGTGGGGTACAGGGGAAGGAATGCTGGCTGCAGCTGTCAGATTTACAACGTCCAGGACTCTCCAGACTCCTGAGGCTATTGTTTTACAAGCCTAAGTTTTCCATTAACCACATTCTGTCCTATACATACTTTTCAGGTTCCCACCTGGAACAAACCTAACAATTATCATTTAAAATATTTGGTTTTCTTGTTTGATTTAGGTGCATGGTACCAAGATTAAATCAATGTGGATGATTCTTCTTTTCTTGAACCATTCTGGGGCAAGAAGTGTTAGGGTGGAGTGCTGCTGCAGAGCCAGTACACGCAGGTTTTGAGAAAGAGTTCTCGACACAAAGTTTAGGATAGAAAGAAGGCGTTTATTTTACTTTTCCCAAGCGGGAAAGGGCCAATACGGTGAAAGGGAGAAAGAGGAAAAGTGTATTGGCAGAGAGAATCAGATATCAGGCTTTTTATTAGGAATTGTAAAAAGATGGTGAAGATGATTTATGATCGTAGCCAAATTAGCAGGGTACTGTGAACACTGCGTCCACTCCTTTTCTTAGTAGCAGGCCCATAACAGAAGCTGATAACAAGCCACAGGTTTATCACTAATGATTGTGGTCTGGTCATTGATTCTGCCCCTGGGACAGAGACTGAGGCCTGTAGCGGGCACCTCCTGCTTGACTGTTCAGGAACTCCCCAAGGCTGTAAAACAAATGCTCAAAAGCAGTTTTAAAGTGAGAGATTTACATTTCCTTTCTGTGTGTTTAGGCTCTTTTCAGATGTTGTGGAAACTGAGTCCCTGCCAGGTGCCTGTCAGCCAGTCAGCTAGGGAGAGAAAGAGCAGAGAGCAGGGAGAGAGCTCATGATTGATCTTTAGCTGTTGTTAGGAAATGGAGGGATTAGGTATTTTCCTGTTATGTCAGCAAAGCCATCCCTTTCAAGAAGTACATAATATACCTTTATTATGGACCACATTTGCTCATCGAGTCACCCTGTCTATTCCAGGATTATAGCCAGGAATCCACACTGGTCTTTGTTAGGGTGGAAAACTTAGTAGGTATTCATGGTGCAGGTGGAGAAAAATTTCTCACGAAGAGATTAGGATATATACATATATGTATGTAAAAAAGTTCATCTTCTTAGAAGGAGAGAGAGAATGAGAGAATGAGAGAGAGGAGAGTGAGAGCAGGGTGATGGCATGGTATCCTGAAGAAAGAGAAGGGGGGTGCCAGCACTGAGGCCAAGTGGCTTGCTGATCTTATGGGGACAAAGAGAAAGGAAAAAAAAATAGTGATTGCTGTGAGAAACTGCTGCATTCGCTCCTTTCTTTCTTCTTGGAGGCAAGATGATAATAGTAATTCAAGCTGTTGTGGAGTAATTAGCAGGAGGCAGCTGTGAGACATCAGGTTGTCCATCTTTCTTATTTTCTCTGCTTCTAGAGACTTGATTATCTCTGAAATGTAGTCAGGTTTATTGCAGGGGATGTGATTTTGCCCCTGAGATATGGTTGTTTTTTTTTTTTTGAGACAGAGTCTCACTGTGTTGCCTGGGCTAGAGTGCCATGGCGTCATCTTAGCTCACAGCAACCTCAAACTCCTGGGCTCAAGCGATCCCCCTGCCTCAGCCTCCCGAGTAGCTGGGACTACAGGCATGCGCCACCATGCCCGGCTAGTTTTTTATATATATTTTTAATTGTCCTATTAATTTCTTTCTATTTTTAGTAGAGACGGAGTCTCGCTCTTGCTCAGGCTGGTTTCGAACTCCTGAGCTCAAACAATCCGCCCGCCTCGGCCTCCCAGAGAGCTAGGATTACAGGCGTGAGCCACCGCGCCTGGCCCCTGAGATATGGTTTGAGCAGAAAACTAAGATCTGGAGTTGGTCCGCCTGCTGTCCACTCAGGACTCCTTAGGAAATTCTAAAAGAGTAGTGAGCTAGTGAATCTTAAAAAAAGATTTACATTTCCTTTTTGACTGTTGGGGTCCTTTTAGACGTTGTGAGAATGCAACTGTCCAGGGTGCCTGTCAGTTAGTCAACTAGAGGGAGAGAGAGCGCAGAGAGCAGGGAAAGAGCTCATCATTGATCTTTAGATGTTATTAGGAAATTGCAGGATTAGATATTTTCCTGTTATTTCAACAAGACCGCCCTTTCAGTTTTATTTCTAAGCTTTAAGAGAGTGCCAGAAGAAAGATGCCGAATTTGTTGTCACCTGTTCTTTACTACTTTCTAGTTGTGATCTAATTATTCATTTCCTTTATGTTCTCTTAAGTCTTACGTTGCAAGCACTTTCTTAAACTTGCCTCCTAAGCTCCCCTGTTATTTCTTTATTGCTCAGCCCCTGGTATATACTGGACACCAGGAGGAGAGCATAGTTTTTGACTGCAGGCTTTTCTGAATGGAAAGGGACTAGTCTTGAGGATTCAAACCTGGAATTAGAAATTGAAGTATAGGAAACTCTGTTTTATTACATCAGCTGTTGAAAGTTAAAAATTGTGCAGAAGAGAGACATCTTCAATGGTATTATAACTGATTGTGAGATTAAAACCTATTGGTTAGACAGATGTTGAGACTAATATTGAGATAGTAGTCTATCGAGATTAACCGACGTGGGAAGAATTAGAGAGTAAAAGATGATACTTAATGAGAATACCATTAATAGTTTGTGAAAATAAAAGAAGGGAAATATAATTGTTTGTGTCCTGTCAAATGCTTTCAACCTACAGATTTTAGTTGTAGAATACTACTGCCCAGTTATTGTTTCATATAAGAAATCTCTTAGATATCCAGAATTTTCCATACCAATATTTTTAACTTTACTTTTACATTTTAAGGTTAATTGTATATCCTCCACCACCTACCAAAGGGGGATTAGGAGTAACTAATGAAGATCTGGAGTGTTTGGAAGAAGGAGAGTTTCTTAATGATGTAATCATTGATTTTTACCTTAAGTAAGTACAATTATAAATGGTTCTTCTCATTTGTTTTACAGGTTTTACTGAGAAACTTAACATAAATGTCTTTATCTCTGAGTTATTTTAACTCCAACAAAAAATAACCTGCTAAGATTTCAGATCTGGAAAATATTTGCCTATCAAGATTTTCTAGAATTGACTAAATCAGTTTCATTCTTTTACTTCTCATAAATACTATTAATATATACTTAAAGAGAGCTACTGCCTTTTTGTTTAATTTTGTTTCTGTTTGTTGGTTTTTTTTGTTTTGTTTTGTTTTTGTTTTTTAAGACAGAGTCTCACTCTGTTGCCTGGGTACAGTGCAGTGGCATCATCATAGCTCACTGCAACCTCAAACTCCTGGGCTCAAGCAATTCAGCCTCCCCAGTACTGGGATTATAGGCTTGTGCTACCGTACCTGGCTAATTTTTCTGTTTTTATAGAGGCAGGGTCTCGTTCTTGCTCAGACTGGTCTCGAACTCCTGACCTCAAGTGATCTTCCTGCCTCAGCCTCCCAGAGTGCTAGATTACAGGCATGAGCCACTGTTCCCGGCCTGTTTGTTGATTTTTGATTTATACTTCTTTAACTACTATATTATTGTACAAATCACTTTGTATAATTACAATTACAAATCACTTGGGGGGAACCAAAAAGAGGCAGTTCTATGCAATTGTCTGTTGTATCTTTAAGCACCATGAAAGTTAACTGTCATTTTAAAAACCCATATCACTATTCCTTTAAATTTTTTTTTTCACTTTTGTATTGCCAAAGGTGAAGGAATAGACATAAAAGCTTTTAAAACTTTTATGCAAAGGAAATTTGTTTCTGGCCCTCATTTTGTACTGTATCCCTAGACCTAAATTTCTAATACTTGATTGAGATATTTTCTAATTATTTCACACATCTCTCTCAAACCAAACTTACTGTTATATCACCTTACCTAATTACTAATAATACTATCTTTATTCCAGTGACTCGGGGTCACAATTTCACATTATTATTTATATTTACAGGTACTGCGTATTTAATATCTAGAAATTCAATTTGTGTTTTAAAAAATGTCTTACATGTTTCTGATTTTTTGAATATATGGAACACAGTTATAATAACTGTCTTAATGTCCTTTTATGCTTGTCTAACATCTATGTCAGTTCTGGATTGGTTTCAGTTGATCGATTTTTAATCTTCATTATGAGTCTTTCTTTGCTTCTTTACATGTCTGGTAATTTTTTACTAGGTGCCCGGTATTTTTGTATTCCTGTTAAGTATGCTTGAATTTTGTTCTGGGATACAATTAAATTATTTGGAAACAGTTTGATGCATTTAATATTTGTTATTAATTAATCCCCTCCTACTACAGAAAGACCTTCTGGGTATTTTACCCACCACTGCATGAATTATGAGGTTTTCCAGTCTGGCTGGCAGGAACAGGCACCATTCCTGATCTGTGTGAATTCTCAGTACCATTCTCTCTAATCTTTTTGAGTAGTTCTTTCCCCAGAGCTTGGGTACTTTCCTTACATACATGCAGTGATTAATACTCTGCTAAATACTTGAGGAGGACTCTCTGCAGCTATCTGGAGTTCTTTCTCCCATACGGCTTTCCTTTTCAGTATTCTGATCTGCAAACTCTAGCTACTCAGTTCTTAAAAAACAATTGCAAGGGCATTTTTAAATCTGCGTAAACTATTAAGAACAGCAGAGTTTTCTAATTATGAAGGGTTTAATCATTACGTGATTGAATTATTAAGCTTGTAAGGAAGAATTGTTTTAGTACAGAAGTCAAATAAGGATTTAGAGATCAGTCATATCTCAATTATTAAAATTTTTCTAGATTTAGGAGTGCCATAGTTTCAGACTTACCCTTTATCATGTGATTATTTGATTAATATTTTCTTCTAACCTCATTCCTCTGCATTGTAAGCTCTATGGTGGCAGGTACTTTATTTTTCCCCTCTTATTTTGTTTTTGGTGTAAACATGGTGTTTGTTACATGTTAGAAATTTGATAAATATTTATTAAATAAATGAATAAGTGGGCAATTTCTGCTTTAAATGATCTTGATAGAAGGTGAAGTAACTAAAGACCAAACTGAAAGCTGAACTCAGAAGAAGCTGCAAGATTGCTTTGAAAACTAATTGTATATAAAAATGAAGATTTCCAGAACATAGAATTGTGGGAAGACCAGGTAAAATCTATAAATAATTTACTTTTGTGGTGTTACTGCTTTACAGGTATCTTATATTGGAGAAGGCATCAGATGAACTTGTTGAACGAAGTCACATTTTTAGTAGCTTTTTCTATAAATGCTTGACAAGAAAGGAAAATAATTTAACAGAAGATAATCCAAATCTTTCGTAAGTTAATCCTATAATGTACTTAAGTTTTAAAAGAAAGTATACTATTTTGATGCTCCTAATGAAGTAGCTTCTTTATAGTATTTCCTAGAATGAGCAGAATTACCATTTGTGCAGGTCCTGGGTCCGTTTGCCATGAGAGCCATTTCTCATCTTTACGCTCTTCTGCTCCCTGTGACAGGGAGGCTGACACTGGCAGGCTACATTTCCACTTGCATGTCCCTGAAGGATAATGGAAGTTGGAGGGCAAGGAATACAGGTGCTAGGGTATTTTTTCCCTACCCTCTTTGCCTTGGACAGTGATTCTGGTAGTAGCTGTATTCCCACTGTGGGTCTATCTCTCACTGGATAGACCTGTTAGAGCTCCAGCTTCCATCTGGAGGTACTGCTTCTTCCTGTTGACCACCCTAGTGGTATAGCAGTTTCCTAGTATGCTGATCTTTGGTTGCCTCACTGTCTCACTGTCCCCCTTTGGCTTTGTTCTTTTTCTGTCATTTCTGTAGCCAATTCCCTACATTACATTCTATCTGTTATAACTATATAGGGTTGTTTTGGTTTTCCTGGTTAGATACTCACCAACATACTTCTATTTAATTAAATCAGTATAACATTATATGAAATACCATGTTTGTTAATACACTTTAGCTGAATTTTTCCTCAAGTATTTTCTTTCTTTATTTATTTTTTTAGAGACAGGGTCTCACTATGTTGCCCAGGTTGGCCTCAAACTCCTGGCCTCAAGTGATCCTCTCACCTCAGCCTCCCAAAGTAGGTGGGACTACGGCTGTGCACCACAGCACCCTGCTCCCAAGTATTTTTTGATTAATACTAAAACCTATGGAGCAGTGGATAGGGATAGGCAAAAAGGAGGAAGGAGATATTATTTCTTAGGCAGCAGTAACTTGGATAGTTGTTGAAACATGGAACATTTCACTCCTTTCCCAAGGCCTAATATTATAATCTATTTGAGTAGACTCATGATAAAATTAAGAGTTTTTATTTTTTAAAAAGTTAGTGTAAACATTTGTATACTACTTTACAATTTATAAGGTACACTTATGTACATTATTTCAATTTTTTCTCTCATAGCAGTGCTTTTAGATATATAGGGAATATAAGTTATATCCTAGTTTTTCAGATGAGGAAGGAGTTTCATAAAGATTAAAAATTTTTACTAAGGACAGATAGCTAGTGAGTGGCAGAACTTAATACTTAAATCCTTTAAAGGTACTTAAATCCTTACCTTTTAACCCCTTAGTCCAAAGTTTTCATTGTACTAGACTGCCTTAAAAATGATTATGTCAGTTTGTTTTATCTCATTAAAGCAATAGAAATAATAAACATGTAAGAACATGATTAAATAGATAAACTGCTTGAATTGTTGTGTTGTTGGAGAAAGAGGGTAGAAATAGGAAGGCTATTAATTATTGAGTGCCTGCTTGGAACTAAGACAGCGAACATGAAATTATTTACTTTACAATATTCTTGTGAGATTAAGTGTCATTGTCTTTATTAATTGAAGCTTAAAGAAGTTAGATAAGTTTTCCAAAGTTGGGTATAGCTTTCCAGTTTCAAAGTTCAATTCTATCTGTTGTTTGTAGTGTTGTGACTACATAATTTATGGTCTAAATTGGAACGCTTGTGAGAATAACAGGAGATTCTATTGATGGTTACACTGAGCAACTAGTATATATACTGGGGTGTATAGTAAACTATATTTCGAGTGCCTTTATAGGTTTAGAATTTCTGCTAATGGACAAGGCCTGCCAGGATCAATTAAGGAGAAAATCACAATTTGAAAATATTCCTGATAATCAGGGTTATTGGAGAGGAGGTTATATGGAAGGGGGAGATTGATTAAGTAAATTGAATATTTAACATTTCTGATGTCTTCCTGTTCTATTTTACGTATACAGAAATTAATAGTTGGTATCATGCAGTTAATCCCATATTTTGTTTTAAGATTATTCAATGTACAAATTGTGCATTTGGTGTATCCACCTTCCAACTAAGGAAATGAAAATAGTAGGTTCTGCTGTATTATTAGGTTTTTAAAAAATTAGATATTGTACACCTGCTTATATATAAAAGTAATAAATACAAAGGTATATGAGCAGCTTACTCTAGGGTGCCTTTACTAATGCTTGATCTCATAAACATACACTCACATATACACATATTAAATAGTGTGAATGCTAATGTATACTTGACAGACCAAGCATTAGTATTCACACAGTCTGATATATCAGACCAAGCATTAATAGTTACACAAAGATTTTCAAAATAAGACAGACTAATGGCCAAGAAACATGAAAAAATTCTCAACATCTCTAATCATCAGGGAAATGCAAATCACAGCCACAATGAGATATCACTTAACTCCAGTGAGAATGGCTTTTATCAAAAAGTCCTAAAACAATAAATGTTGGCATGTATGCGGAGAGATAGGAACACTCATACAGTGCTGGTGGGACTGCAAAGTAGTACAACCTCTGTGGAAAGCAATATGGAGATACCTCAAAGAGCTACAACCACCAATTGATCCAGCAATCTGATAACTGGGCATCTACCCAAAGGAAAAAAAGACATTCTATAAAAAAGACATCTGCACTCGGATGTTCATAGCAGCGCAATTCACGATGGCAAAGATGTGGAAACAACCCAAGTACCCATCAATACATGAGTGGATTAATAAAATGTGGCATATACCACATTTTATTTATTTATATACCATGGAATTCTACTCAGCCACAAAAAACAATGGTGATCTAGTACATCTTGTATTATCCTGGATAGAGCTGGAGCCCATTCTACTAAGTGAAATATCACAAGAATGGAAAAACAAGCACCACATGTACTCACCATCAAATTTGGTATTAACTGATCAACGCTTAAGTGCACCCATAGTAGTAACATTCATCGGGTGTTAGGCAGATGGGAGCGGGGAGGAAGGGATGGGTATATTCACACCTAATGGGTGTGGTGTGCACCGTCTGGGGGATAGACATGCTTGAAGTTCTGACTTGGGGGGGGCAAAGGGAATATATGTAACCTAAACATTTGTGTCCCCGAAATACGCTGAAATAAAAAAAGTTACCCAAAGAAACCCTACAAATCAGCAAAGAAAAAAAAAAAAAGATACAAAGATAATCCAAAAGCAGAGTGGCAAGAGATATAAATTTTAATGGCCAATAAATTGACAAAAAAAGGCTCAAACTACTAATATTGGGAAACTGCAGACTAAATGATTCTCAAACTCTTTACCATGGTTTATGAGATCCTGCAAGATCTTTCTGTCACTCTAAACTCATCTCACAACATTTACCACACTTCAGTTCAACTCACCTCTTTTCAGTTTTCAAATATGCTAAGTTCTTCCCTATTTTCTGCCTGAAGCTTCTTCTCCTGGCACTTTTTTTTTTTTGCCTCACAATGCGATCGCTAATCATTTTGTTTGTTTGTTTGCTTATTTTCTGTTTCGCATCCTAAGCTCCATGAGGTCAGGGACCTCATCTGTCTCATTTTTCACTGTATCCCCAGAGCCTTGCCCAGTGCTTGGAACACTATTAATGGAAACTCAAAATAAAAGATAATAAGAATGCCTATTATTGAATACTGAGAGAACTGTTAGACATTTAATTGGGATTTCCTATACAGTTAGGAACTTGAGACTAAGAGATCATGTGTGATCCTCGTATTCTCTCCTGTCCTTCCTGTCTCCATTCTATGTCTATTATATTCCCAATCAAATAAGGTTAGCATAATCAGGAGATCTACGAAACACCAACATCATAAAACAAAGAAAACCAGTTGTCTCTCCTTAAGCTTTTCAAATGGAAAACAAATTAACAGACTATGCACTAGTTGAAAGTAATTGTTTATAATAATTATAATGGTTGGATTCTTCTGAAATGAGAAAATTCAATAAACATGCAACACCTGATTATTTATGTAGTTAATCTTCCACATAGTGTCTAATCCCTGTCACAACTTTTAGCTCATTTTGGATCCTATCTTATACCCCATGTGGTTTTGGTTAGATATTATTCAGCTGCACAAGGATGAGGCAAAGATGTCAATTTCCTACATTACTTGGTAATAAGTATATAAGAACTTAATGGTTTGTTTTTTCCCCCACATAAAGAGTTCCTTCTAAGGGATTGAGCCAGAAGGCACATACCACCTCCTTTATGCCCCTGTTAAATGCCATTTTCTTCCTGAGATTTTTTTAAAAATGTTTTCCTTCAGAAATGAACTAAGACTTTTCTTGGACATCCAACTTGGTTTGACATCTTCTCTCCTTAACTCCCCTGATTAAAGAAAAGAAACTAGTATTTGTGTATGTGCATGCAAAACCTGAGAAAAGAAACTAGTGTTTGTGTATGTGCATGCCAACCCTGTTCTAGGTGGTTATCTTAGATGCTTTAACATAATTCTTTTGTATCCCTTATAACACTTATATTTTAGTTATTTGTTGTACTTTTTTTCTGCCCTCATTAGATTATGAATTCTTTTAGGTCAATGTAGGTGATTTTCTTTATTTGTTCTTAGGACCTTAATAAATACTTGCTGAAGAAATCAAAGGAAAGATGGATGAATGGTGGGTACACTTAACTACGTTGTGCTGTAGTTTCCTTATGTATTAAAGGAAGGGAGATGAGTTTCATTTTTTAAAATCTAAACATACTTTGATAGAGATTGCATTAATTCTGTAGATCACTTTAGGTAGTATGGACATTTTAACAATGTTGATTCTACCAATCCATGAGCAAGGTAGATTTTTCTATCTGTTTACATCTTCTACAGTTTCTTTTCTTAGTGTTTCATAGTTTTCCCTGTATATGTCTCTCACATCTTTCGTTAAATGTATACCGAAATATTTGATTTTCTTTGAGGCTGTTGTAAAAGGTACTGCGTTTTTGATTTCAATTTTGGCTTGACTGTTATTGGCATATAAGAATGCCTCTGATTCGTGTGTATTAATTTTGTATCCTGAGACTTTAGTGAATTCATTTATCAATTCCAGGAGTCTCTTGGTTGAATCCGTGGGGTTTTTTAGATATAATATCATATTATCAGCAAAGAGTGAGAGTTTGATCTCTTCTGCCTCCATTTGGATGCCCTTAAATCATTCTTTACAGATCTAGAAAAAATAATTCTATGCTTTGTATGGAACCAGAGAAGCCCTTGTATAGCCAAAGCAATTTTGAGCAAAAAGAACAAACTGGGAGGTATCAGTCTACCAGACTTCAAGCTGTACTACAAGGCTATAGTAACTAAAACAGCATGATACTGGCACAAGAATAGAAACATAGACCTTAGGAACGGGACTGAGAATCCAGAGATGAAACCATCCACATATTGTCATCTAATCTTTGATAAAGCAGACAAAAATATACACTGGGGAAAAGAATCCCTTTTCAATAAATGGTGCTGGGAAAACTGGATAGCAACATGCAGAAGATTGAAACTGGATCCCCACCTCTCACCCCTTACAAAAATCAATTCAAGATGGATAACAGACTTAAACCTAAGGCATGAAACCTTAAGAATCCTAGAAGAAAATGTAAGGAAGACTCTTTCAGACATTGGCCTGGTAAAGAATTTATGAAGAAGACCCCCAAAGCAATCACAGCAGCTACAAAAATAAATGGGACCTGATCAAATTAAAAAGCTTTTGTACAGCCAAGGAAACTATCATTAGAGTGAATAGACAACCTACAGAAATGAGAGAAAATAGTTGCTCTCTACACATCCGATAAAGGGCTGATAACAAGAATCTATCTAGAACTCAAAAAAAATCAACAAGATAAAAACAACCCCATCAATAAATGGGCAAAGGACATGAACAGAAACTTTTCAAAAGAAGACAGAATAATGGCCAGCAGACATATAAAAAAATGCTCATCTCTAATCATTAGGGAAATGCAAATCAAAACCACGATGAGATATCACCTAACTCCAGTGAGACTGGCCTTTATCAAAAAATCCCTAAGCAACAAATGCTGGTGAGGACGTAGAGAGATAGGAATACTCTTACACTGCTGGTGGGACTGCAAATTAGTGAAACCTCTGTGGAAAAGAATTTGGAGATACCTCGAAGAGCTACAAGTAGAACTACCATTTGATCCAGCAATAGCACTGTTAGACATCTACCCAAAGGAATAAAAGCCATTCTATAATAAAGACATCTGCACTCGAATGTTTATGACAGCACAATTCACTATAGCAAGGATGTGGAAACAACCCAAGTGCCCATCAATCCGTGAGTGGATTAATAAAATATGGTATATGTATACAATGGAATACTACTCAATTATAAAAAATAACAGTGATCTAGCACCTGTTATATTTTCCTGGATAGAGCTTGAGCCCATCCTCTGAAGTGTGGTATCACAAGAATGGAAGAATAGGCACCACATGTACTCGCCATCAAACTGGCACTGACTGATCAACACTAAGGTGCTCACACAGTAGTCATATTCTTTGGGGGTAGGGGGATTGGGTGTGGGCAAACTCACAACTAATGGATACGGTAAGCGTAATGGGGGGAAAGGGCACATCTCAAATCATGGTTGGGATGTGACAAAGTTATAACATGCAATCAAAATGTTTGTACCCCCATAATTTCCTGAAATAAAAAAAAAATAAAATCTAACCATAAAAGCCTCATTTCTTCTCCTCCATTAAGCTTTAAAACCTCTTTCATCACAGATACAACATTTGGACAATTCTGTTAAGGCTTAATGATAATATTTTATATCAGGTTCAGATGTAGCTAAGCAGAATAAATAGGTTTAACTGTGTATTCATTTGGTGAGCCACTTTTGGAATCCATAAAGCATTCAATAAATCACTTTCTTTATTTTGTCCATTTCATCATTGTTTGTAGTGATTAAATTTAAGAACAACCAGAAGTTAATAAAATGGAATACATTTCTAGTGTGTTAAATAGTATATATCTTGAGGAAGGTGGGTAAATAAACTAAACCTAACATTTGTCAGTATATAAAAATGGCTCTTGAAGTCCTTATCTTAAATTAAAAATTTTTAATATATCAAATCTATCTTTCATATTCCCAGAATGGCACAGAGAAGACATAAAAGAGTAAGAACCTGGACTCGTCACATAAACATTTTTAATAAAGATTACATCTTTGTACCTGTAAATGAATCGTGAGTATTTTAGATTATTTAAAAACGAATTGAGAGGCCGGGCGCGGTGGCTCACGCCTGTAATCCTAACTTTCTGGGAGGCCGAGGCGGGCGGATTGTTTGAGCTCAGGAGTTCGAAACCAGCCTGAGCAAGAGCGAGACCCCGTCTCTACTAAAAATAGAAAGAAATTAATTGGACAATTAAAAATATATAGAAAAAATTAGCCGGGCATGGTGGCGCATGCCTGTAGTCCCAGCTACTTGGGAGGCTGAGGCAGAAGGATCGCTTGAGCCCAGGAGTTTGAGGTTGCTGTGAGCTAAGATGACGCCACAGCACTCTAGCCTGGGCAACACAGTGAGACTCCGTCTCAAAAAAAAAAACAAAAAAACGAGAGAGTTCAGAAAAAAAATCTTGTATAGTGTTTTTAGATAAATAATCAGTAAAAATTATGGATACATGAATCCCAGGTATTATTTTAAATTTTTTTCTATAAAAGCAGCTAAGTCAACAAATTACTTACCTTGAATTTTGTTTGACAATAGTTATGTTGTTAATATAGTGAAAAAACCAAAATGAGAAATGATCACAAGACTATAATGACTAAAACATTACAATTTTTTTTGATTAAAGAAAAGATTTTCTAAATAAAAAAAATCAAAATATTTTAGGGCGAATATTTAAATACTTAAGAGAACAAACTCTTTAAGCACTAGTACAAAAAAGATGAGGCGATAAGTTTGTTTATTAAAGTAGATCCTCAAGGAGAAACACTGATTGTGTATGCAAGTAAGTTTGAGTTATTCAGATATTACCCTAAGTCGTGTTACTTATGCCTTTGTAACTTTGGATATTTAATCAGTTTTGGAATATATGCTCTATATTATAGTCACATATTACCATGGACATTTTCAAAATTAATATGAAGTTTGTAATACCCACTTTCTCAGCTCTAGAATGTATTCTTCAACATTATTTAGACTGCATGTTATTAAGATTGTAGCTCTTTTTCAACAGGTCTCACTGGTATCTTGCGGTCATTTGTTTTCCGTGGTTAGAAGAAGCCGTGTATGAAGATTTTCCACAAACTATTTCTCAGCAGTCCCAGGCTCAGCAGTCCCAACATGACAACAAAACAATAGGTGACATCCTTAATGTAGATGGTGTTTTTAATAATGATGACAATAGTATTAATATTATGGTTATATGAACAATCTGAAGTTAAAGGTAGTATAGTTATTTGTTATCATTAAACTTGAAGAAAGAAAAAAAGTCTGAAACTTTCATAATAAACACCCAATTTCTTGCATAGACAAACTGTAATTCTTAAGTTATACTATTATATCAAGTTTTATTATAGCATTTAAAAATTCTTAATTATTGATTTTATTATGAAATATTTCAAATATATAAAAAGATATAGTTAACGTAAGCAACTATTGGTACCCTCTTCACCTAGCTTAAGAAATTAACTTTATAGATATAATCAAAATCTCCTCTGTGATCCTTCCCATTATTCTTTCTTCAATCCAGAAATAACCGTCATTCTAAATTTGATGTTTATTCCCATGCATTTTAAAATTATTATTCCCATTGGCATTTTTTGCTTGTTTTAACTCTTTTTTTAAATTGACAGAAAAAATTGTATGTATTTACCATGTACAGTATGATGTTTTGAAGTATATATACATTGTGGAATAACTAAATTTAACCAATTAATAACATTATAGCATTTTTAAATAGAATAGCTTTGCTAACATGACTAAGAATTCATGCCATATATTTTCAGGCATAGCTTGAAATCTCCTGTTTTTACTTAACAAAATTTAACATATTTCTTGTGGACTCTGATAATTTGGCTAGGTAATACATGATCTCTTATAATTCTTCGATGATTTTTCTTATGTTATAACCCAAAACCTTAAGTAAGCAAATAAGCCTACTTTCTTTAAGAAAAACATATCAAATTTAAGTGTTTTATAGCTGTAGCCTAAGCAGCAAGCAGAATTAATAATAGCCACTACCATTAATGCTGGCCAAAACCTAGGAGGCAAGAAAGAAAAACTGGTAAAACAACCAATTATTTTTAATTCTATCTAATCCTCTTGAGCTTCAAAGGGGTACTTATGCAAAACTCTGTGGTCATAGTTAGAAGAACCATTACTAGGAAATTTGACTACACTCCACATTAAAACAGCAGACATTTTGATTAATGAGTTATCTTTGAAGATCATCTTTTTATAGGAAATTGGACCAGCTAACTGGTATTTCAGGTTTTGGCTCTGGGGTTTATGTATTGTCTGATAACAGCCAACTATTGTCAGTTTTACCTGTTGATTGAATTTTATTCGTGACATTAACCATGAAAAAATTAAATAGATCCTAGGTATTTTTTCTTTAATTACTACTGTGCATACAAATTACAATTTAAGCTTATCTAAATTATCTGTATTAAAAATACAATAAAGACTCATAATCACTTTGTTATTTCTAATTAGATAATGATCTACATACTACTTCGACACCATCTTTGAGTGCAGAGGATTCTCAAGTAAGTATGTTCTTTACAGATGTGAAGGAAGGAAAACTCATGAATATAGTAATATTAACTGTAAGATAGGGCATAGGTAGGGGGACTATGCTGGATATTAGTGGCCCATCATTAAATTGTGCTGCTTTATGATTCTTTGACAGTTTATATGAGGCTAGGAAAGAGAACAAGAGAGGTTGTCATTCTTCTTGTATCTGTTTAGTTTGCTTTAACTTCCTAGGTTTATTTAGTAGTTTATCTGATGTACATCTTGGTTAACTACTTTTCTAATTTTTAAGGATCATGTTTACTTTTTGTATTCATTACGTTAGTAACTTTTTGAACTTAGTGTAATTAATAATCTTAGCAAGTGCCTTTTATATTCCAGTTTCTACTGTAGATTGTTGGTAAAAATCATGCAAGTTAGACTCAAGGTCAACCTATATGACTCTATAGACTAAAATATTTACCATTAACTTTTCTTTATATGGGGCTCCAAACTACTATGCGTAGTTTAGATTTGGTGTTCTAATTGATTAAGATAGCCACCTCATGAATTTTTTTGTGTTTACAGACATAGGCCTCTCTGGCATAGGCCTATGTCTTTACTGTCCCTGTTATAGAATGTCTTCCTGTGGTGGAAGATTTTCTTTTCTGCTGTCACAGTGGCAGTATAGGAGAGTTCCTTCTTGTTTCTAGGGCCAGGTTTTCAGATTGAGTGCCTTGGAATACTAGTTCTAAATGCAGTTTAAGATAAAAAGGATTCTAAGGTTAGTTAAGTCGGGCAAATCCTGTGTACTATTCATCTCTTAGAGATTCACTGTGTGTATTAGAATAATAAAGATACTGCAAAGATCTACATTAAAGACATCTGTTTAAGTTTGATATATTGTTTCTCAAATTTATGAACAAAAACAAAAACCACAAAATTTCCCATCCTTTTTCCTTAATATGCATTAATACTCTGCTTCTTGTGCTTCAAAGGGAAGAATGTGTCTCTGACATCATAAATTGTATTAGAAAATGTATGTAAAGATAGGTTAAATTAACTTGTTTATCTTTGTTTAAGATGATAACTTTGAATAGAAGTAAAGTTCCAGATTGTTTTTTAGGACACGTTAAAGTTTTATAACTGCTTGAGGTCACATCCAAAAGTGTATAAACTACTATTTTACCAGTATAAGAAAATAAGTTAATGAATTTTTGTAAAATGAAGCTAGCTCACTTCAGATGATGAAAAGAACTCTTATTTGAAATTTTAATTTCAAAGTTGTTTGAAATATTCTTAAAGATTAAATTTTATTCATAACATTAACCATGAAAAAAGTAAATAGATCCCAGATATTTTTTCTTTGATTCCTACTGTGCATACAAATTACAATTTAAGTTTATCTAAATCATCTTTATTAAACATACAATACTCATAATTGGTTTGTTATTTCATAATTTGAATATTAATTCAAACTAGCTTTAATTGAAAAGTCATAAAAATTCATGTTATTTCAGAGTACCGAGATGAATATGTCAGTACCAAAGAAAATGTGTAAAAGGTAGGTACATCCTATCAAACAGTTTTTTTAGATATTTAAATATACTTCACATACAAGTACATAAATCTTGATTTCATTCTTTACTTTTCATAGGCCGTGTATTCTCATACTAGACTCCTTAAAAGCTGCTTCTATACAAAACACAGTTCAGAATTTACGAGAGTAAGTAATGACAATTTTATCATTCAGTCTGTTATGTAAAACCTCAGTAATTTTGAAGCTACCTTAAGAATTACTGAAAAGGCCAGGCGCGGTGGCTCACGCCTGTAATCCTAGCACTTTGAGAGGCCGAGGTGGGTGGATTGCATGAGCTCAGGAGTTCGAGACCAGCCTAAGCAAGAGCGAGACTCTGTCTCTACTAAAAATAGAAAGAAATTAGCTGGACAATTAAAATATATATACAGAAATAAATTAGCTGGGCATGGTGGTGCATGCCTGTAGTTCCAGCTACTTGGGAGGCTGAGGCAGGAGGATCGCTTTAGCCCAGGAGTTTGAGGTTGCTGTGAGCTAAGCTGATGCCACAGCACTCTAGCCTGGGCAACAGAGTGAGACTCTGTCTCAAAAAAAAAAAAAAAAAAGAATTACTGAAAAGACTATCAGAAATTATATTTTATTATGTATTTAAATGAGGCTTATGAATCTAATCATTAATAAATATCCTCTATTCTGTGTTAATATTCAAGTATTAATATTTCTCAAGGATTATATCAAAAGTAAATTCAGAATTTATATTTGTAATTGAACAAAAAGCATAATTTTACAAAGGAGCATTGCAAATATTAGTGATTATCAAAAGTATCACTTTAGAAAAATATAAGAACTCTTTCCCATTTGTATCATGTGTTGTGTGTGTGTGTGTAATTTTGTAATTTACTTAGGGCCTGGAAAAATCTAACAATGAAATATTAAAAATCATTTGTTAGTTTACTTTATCATATAAATAATGTGTTTGAGTTGTGAAAGTTGAATTGTTGAAAAGTTTAGCTTTTAGTTTGAAAATTGAGTTTTCTTTAAAGTAGCATTTGGGAAGGCTCACAAAATATAGTTTGCAAAATTCAGTCTTTGGAAATTTGGCTTGAGGTAATACATCTGGCAACAAATGTTTTTCTGCCTTTGTAAAAATGTCGCATACTGATAAAGAGATTTCTACTTGAGTCACTCTGTTTATTGATGATTTTAGGTATTTAGAGGTAGAGTGGGAAGTTAAGCGAAAGACTCATCGTGAATTCAGCAAAACAAACATGGTGGACCTATGCCCTAAAGTTCCTAAACAGGACAATAGCAGCGATTGTGGAGTATATTTACTGCAATATGTGGAAAGCTTCTTTAAGGTATGTGAAGATATAAATAAGTTTTTTTATTCACAGTTGCCAGCACACAATCACAAGTTACTGGGCAAGCAAAGAGGCAAGAAAATGTTACAGATAATCAAGATTAAAAGAAAGAAATAGAACCAAATATAATACAGATATTGTGATAAGCAGATAAGAACTTCAAAATGATTTGATTAATATGTTAGAGAAAATAAAGTCAAAGATGAACAAAATAGATGAAGAGATGAAGTATACAAAAAAAATAAAATGGACATTCTAGAGCTGAAAATATATAATGATATATCTGAAATTAAGAATTTATTGAATGAGTTTAGTAACAGACTGGATACAGCAGAAGACAGGATTAATGAACTTTAAGGAAAGATGATATAAAGTACCCAACTGAAGCTCGAAGAGAATAGAACATAAAAAACAAGTGTGAAGCAGTCAAAGGTCTAATTTACATGTATTTGGAGTCCCAGAAGGATTGGAGAGAGAGAGAGAATAGGGCAGTCACAATATTTTGAAGAGAATTTTCTAAAACTAAAAGACCTATTTATTCAAGTAGCTTAGAAAACCAGACCTTGAAAAATTACAATTACAAATATGGCTGTTAATTTTCTAGCTCACAGAGACTCTGTAGAAACTGTAGCAATATTAAGAAATTTTAAATAGCAAGAAATCACTCTTTGCTTTTTGACCTATCAGCTCATTACTTCAGTCATTACCAATATTATTTATGAAGATGGGGTGTTTTTGACTAAGAGTCTGCTTGGAGAATGCTTAAAGGTACTTTCAAAGCATGAAGGTTTTAGTATACAGTTACAACTTTTTGATGTTTTTAATATTGGGTAAGAATGATAATATATAGTAAGAGATTATACATAAATATCTGTTATGTTGGTGTTTTTTCCCCTTCTTAATTCCACACTGGAACTTTGTCATAGGGTGACATCTCTGGTCCTCTAATACTCTTTCCAAATAGATTTCATTTTGTGTTTAAAATATTCAAAGGACCTTACTTATTATACAACATATTCTGTGTCTGTTACATAATTCTACTTTATATACCCTCAGTCAATAGAATATACTTCTAATACAGGATGAATCACCATGTAAGATTACTGGGGAAGAAACTTCCAAAATCTAAATGTTGTGTTTTTCAAATTTGTACACTAATATAACATAGCTTAGGTTAAAAAAAAATAGGCTTAAGGCAGACCACTCAAAACCTATGGAACTAAACCCTAATAAAAACAATATTACTTCTAATAGAAATACTAGCACAGTAAATCTCCACTGGCATTTGCTTGTAGAATCACAGTCTGTCCATACTTTTAGCCTTACACCCTGGGGCTCATAATTTCTTCTTTAAGATGTAAGTCCTTCTTACATATGGCTTCTATTAATTTCATCAAATTTATAAACGTAACCTAAGGGTAGCCTTCTTCAGCAATTCTTTTTTTTTTTTTTTAAACACAGAGGGAAATGTCTTTGCAATTTCAACTTACAATTTCCTGATTAAGCTTAACATAATAGAAAAATGTAGTGGATCTTGAAGCCATTAATCAGCTGTTTCTTGCATTAAAAGAAGGCACTATTGTAGGATTTTTCATTTTTTATGAGATTCTTCACTTATTGATAAGGCTTTTCTCTTTGTTTTAATAGTTTCAAGATATTAACATCTTGGGAAAAATTGCGATAAAACCAACCTGACTTGTGTACTATTCTGAATCATTCTCTACCTATTGTTTGTGCTGATTCAGTTAAACATGCATAGTAGCAGAATAGACAGTATTTAATTTTGATGCTCAAAAGTTAGCAATTTAATGAAAATGTTCTAAAATTGATTGTGGTGATAGTATACTAAAAACCGTTATATTGTATATTTTAGGTGAATTGTATTATGTGGGTTATATCTTAATAAAGTTGTTATTTTTAAAAAGTTAGCAATTTCTCATTTCTTGTAAAAATGAAATTAAAACAAATTTGAAATTATGCTAACATGATTGCATTCTTTATTTTCTCTCATTAGGATCCTATTGTTAATTTTGAACTTCCAATTCATTTGGAGAAATGGTTTCCTCGTCATGTAATAAAGACCAAACGGGAAGATATTCGAGAACTCATTTTGAAACTTCATTTACAGCAACAGAAGGGCAGCAGTAGCTAGTTAATCTGTACAAACATGACACAGATGTTCTCTAAGATTACTGGAAAGCCTCTTACCAGCATTTGTGTTAGCCAGCTCACAGAGAAGAAAATAACTTGCAGTAGTTTTATAAGTCATTGGACATTATTTAAAATATATAAAATATATTATTAGAATTGTTGGGATCTCATAGATGGAGTAGGAATGGGGATGATATAGATAAACTTATTAGATAGAAATTAAAATTTCATAAATATTTCATATTTTTCTGAGTAAATATGCTTGGATTATGCAATAGCATATGTAATGTGGGAATGTTTTTGTATATAATAAAACTATGTGATCTGTACTTCCACATGACTTGGTGTTGAGGGGAGTTAGGTCCTCCCTGGTGCCAGCCCCAGTGCTTGTCAAATTTGTTGACAAGTCATATCATATTGTAATTCTATTCTTTGCAGCTCAAGCATGCAGTATGAATACTGTGTATTTTTTTAAAAAGAGAATTTAGTATCAAGGCTTCAGAAAATGCCATTTACGGCATCCCTTCTGTATGGTGTAAAAAAAGACATTCATAATGTTAGGAAGATGACAAAAATTCACTCTTTTAAAGCATAGCTTATTATTTTCAATTGCTAAAGTCAATTACTCTGCTCTAATTTTTTTTTCCATTTCTTTGTCATATGTTGGGATCTGAGAACTTAGTTCATTTGTTCAGGGTAAAATTTGGAACAAAAAAATTTAGCTCTCCAGAATAGGTTTTTAAAAATTATACATGTAGCTCAACTTAGTTTATTTGAGGTATAGCTATATAAATATCCACTCCTACATTATTCCAGAATATATGTGCACAGTTTCTATAATGTAGAAGATGAAACTGGTCTCCTTACAACTTTAACAAAAAAATACCCTTAAAGTCCTATTTATTAATTGTTAGAACTAAATATATAATTTTATAGCTCGGTTTAGCCAGTATTCATCTGCAAAGCCAGATTGCTGTCATTGCCTTTATATTTTTAAATTGTAGTTTTTAGAGACCTATGATCCTCATGGAGCTTAATTTTTTTTATTAAATATTCAGGTAACAGCTCTGAAATCATGTGATAATGGTGGTATTATATATGATTAAACATTTCAGAACCTTCTAATGTTATCAGGAATATTTTCAGAGAGAAATGATTATAGGTATTTTCTCAGATAAGAAAAAAGCTTTTTAACAATATTATTTTCATCTTCTGTTTTAAGCATCTCTTGGATTTGTGTTGTAACTATATGTAAAGAGGGTGAAGCAAAGGCAATTTAAGATAAAGCTGAAATGTCTGAATGTTTTATTTCAAAATCTTGTGAATTGAGCTTGTCAGTTAAGCCTGTGTCCTTAGCTTTTGTTAATCCAGTCACCATCTTTATATTGTTAAATATTTGTCTTTTGGAGCTTTCATATAAAGATGGTTATAATTACATATTTCATTCCCAATTTGTGTGTTGGAGACTTTCTAAGGTGACTATTAATTGTTTTGTACATCTAATTTTGGGAAAGCAAGAATATAAGATATTGTGTGATTTCTTAATTTTTATGTTTGTATGTTTTTCAAAGATACCACTGTCCTTTATCATGTTTTGAAGATTGTTTAAAATTCATTTTCCTAAATTCCTGTGCAAATAATGCTTTGATGATATCAACATTTTATATTAAACATATTTCCAATTCATTAAATAGAGGTGTAATATTTTTCTTAAGAAACAGGAACCATTGTTAGAAATAAATTTCCAATTGTATCATGCCCAGTGCATATCATATAATTGATGCTTAAATTAATTTTTCTTCCTATTTTAAGGGAGGGAGCTCAGCTTAGAGGGGTTTGTGTGTGTGTGTGTGTGTGTTAGTGAAAGGAGGTTGAGAGGTAGCGAGAGGATTGTTCGTGGACAGAGCAATCCTTCTTGGAAAAGATAATGTTATTTAACTCACAACTCCTGTGATTAAAAGAAAAAAGCAAGTTTTTTTAAAAATTCTTATTCAATTACTTAATTAGGTCTTAGAAAAAGTTTAATACCTCTTAAAATCAGCTTTTCTTTTTATGTCACGAGGAAAAGGAGCTTTAGACTTGTCATATAGGGCCCATCCTAATCTTGTCCCAGCCTGTATTCTATCCTCATCTTTCCATAGTCCCATACATTTTAGTCATATAAAATTATTCATTCATGCATTAAGACTCCCTCTGGAGTCTCTTGTAACTGAACTTGTCCTTGTGGAAATTTGGAAACTTTGCCTACAGGTTGTTAAGAGGCTCTGTGTGTAGGAGGCGTCCTTTTGCTGCTGTGACCTGCACTGACCCAGGTGGTCTCTTCTGTTACAACTCAGTGCATACCTTTTGGGAGCTGGAGAAATCAGAGTCAGGACTCCTATAAAGACTACAGGTGAAGATGTACTTTACCTGAAATTATCATGGTAACACTGTTTCCTGTGCTATATTCTTCTACAAAGTAAGCCTGGAGCCAGGTTATGGACTGTTGTACCATGAGTGTAAATGTCATGTTAAACCCAAGGCCGTAGATGGTTGTGTGGAGTGGGTGTTATGATATTGTACCTTCATACCTACAGGACTTGCACATGCTATTCCTTTTCACTACATGTGAACTGTATTTTCCCAGAATCTAACTCAAATGTCACCACCCCTGCATCTGCTCAAACAGAATGATTCATTCTCTCTCCTGCTGTCACATAACAATTTGTATGTACCTCTCTAATTGCTTTTATTACATTATTTGTGTACACGTTTTTCCCTTTTGACTGCGAGCCCCTTAAAGACTGGAAATATTTTCTATTTCCTGTATTAAGTATATGAGTAGCATATAGTAAACATTTCAGAAAATTTTGTTGAGTCAATAAATGATCCTCAACTGACTTGGAATTAGGTATGGATGAAGGAATCTGTACTTATCTCTAAAGCATGAAGCTTTATGTTTAGTTCTTATATGCTTATGATTTGGGGACATTTCTTGAAGCACAACAAAGTTCAAAGAACCATCATATGAGATTTTGAAATATTTCCTTAAAAGAAATCTTCTTAAAAACTCAAGGAATATTTTTTTCTGGGTACTTAAACATTAGAGAGATCATCTGTTTCATCTGTAGGTAAAAAATTCAAAATTCTTAGTAAGACTTGCAAGGTATTCCATAGTCCATCTCTATTAAACTTGTCAGCCTTCATTTCCAACCTATTTACTGTGTGGGCCTATCCTGCTCCAGCAAATAACTTTCTGTTTTCTGTATGAACACTATACTTTTTCACCTTATTGATCATGACCAGGAATTTCTTTCCTAACTCTTAATCCTTCCCATTAACCATCCCACTTATCCCCACTGAAATGCCAACCGGGCCATTTAAGGCCCAGCCAAAATAAACCCTTTACATTTTTTCCAGTTGGAGTTAATCTTGGGTTCCCATGGCACAAACTTATGGCAGTTATTACCTACTTCTTTGTACCATAGAGACAGTTAGTCTAAGAATGGTGTAGCTAAAAGTTACAATTATATCAATGTCAACCTAAAATGAATTTATAAAATGATGACCCTATTTAGAAACACATGAAGCCAGCTACATTTTTTATACTTTTGTTTTTTAAAGAACAAGTATATACCAGTTTCTGAAATTTTACAAACTATATTTTATAGAACATAATGTTTTTGAAATTCTTACATAAATTC